CTCTCGGGGCTGTTGACAACAATAACCGCAAGGCCATCGTCCAGAACACCCTGTCTTCTGACACACATCTTCACGTCTCTGCTGATATCAAACATCTGTCGGCCGAGAATGGTGTTTCCTGTCAAACTCTTTTCCAGCCAGTCGTGCCCCAGGAGGACAATCCTGAGCTCCTGAAGACAGTGTTTGTCCCCTGGAATGAGACAGCATTATGTGGCAGCAGTGCACATGTCATTGTATCATAATCTATGATGCAGACAGTACTAATGCTTGATTAAGTCCACATGAATTAAATAAAAATGTATAATGATATTTAAGGATTAAAAAGTATCCCAAGAAGTTTGAAAGAAATTGAAAGTTCATTGTGGACATTGTAAACACCAGTTAAACCCCACGGCCCCGCGGGCAGGGGCAAAACGCAACATCTTGCAAGAAACAGCATCTGAGGGCTTATTAATATTTAATAAACTATGAATGTGTCATACCCACTTAACGGAAAGAAACTCAGCTATCAGACAATATTAACAATTTTTAGCTAAACGAAAGAAAAAAAAAGGGTAATAACAAAGGCTCTGAATTAGCCCTGAGCGAAGAAATGCTAACGCACTTAGAACAGAACTCAAGGTAAAATACCCTTATTACTTATCGGATCTGCACAAACAAGATATCGATTAGCAAACTGAGATTCCACAGATTCCAGACATATAAGTATCATCACTGAGCGATCAGAACTCAAACAACAACAAAAGAATTAGCTTTAAGGGACCAAATCGGAAAATAAGTCTTACCGTTGCTGTGTTCTGATCAAAAGTTGTGTTCCATGGCATTAAAACGAGAAACACGCCATTGAAGGTTAAGCCATAGGTTAATCCAATGTGTCTGTGTCACTTTGAAATGATTACTGATAATCCATCATTCAATTTTTATGTCAATAACTGAGATTTCATATTAGCTGCTACGATAGCTACTAGAGTGTATGACAGCTTCCGGTTCCGAGGCATTCTGGCTATGCATCACTCATTCACCAATGGGTAATGTTTAGATGGATTTTAGGAACTTCCCCTCGATCTATTGGCTCTAACGGTTAAAAAGAGGTGTCAATCATCAAAATCGACCGAGGGCGGCCAGAGATATAGAAAATGCACCCAAATGACCCCAGAAGATGGTTTTTTTCTCTAAACCTCTCTAAAAAGGTCAAATGTCACTTGTTTTGCATCAATCTTGATACAGGGTACTTATTATATTATAGTTTGGATCAGAGCCGGCCCGACCCATTAAGCGACATAAGCGGCCGCTTAGGGCCCCCTAGCAAAAAAAAAGAAAGAATTTATTTTTTTATTTTTTTATCTCAGTACACCGTTTTTTATCTCAGTACACCGTCGCCGTGATAAGTATGTTTAATTAATTTTGTTAATATGCCTAGATTGCCTACTCTCAAAGTCATGTATTATATTATTGAGTCAATCATATAATACATTAACCGTGCTTTACCTGAACCTCATCATGACACTAGAGAAGACGGCAGGAATGTAATTTCCCGTGTTCAGTGAATGCAACAGAGGCAAGGCACCAGACCAACCAGAGAGTTGAATGGAAATAAACATCTGTCTTATTGGCTGACAGGTACCTATCCTGTGAGCTGTGAGAATGTTTAAAATAAACTCAGACTCTCAGACCCAGAGTTTTTGAAGATGGACATAAGAACATTTGTTCTTAAAAAAGACGACAATTCTCAAGTGGTGGTTCACACAACAACCCCAGAGCCAGCACTTGAGCCAGGAGAAATTACAGCTACGTTGACATTACTTTGAATCGCGGGGGTAAGCTAAACCGTTAGCTAGTAGCTAACCAGCTAGCCAGATATATTAAATAAACACTTTGTCATACAATCTAAATGTAATGTTTTTTAGCGTTATCTGGTGATTTCAAAGAAAGCTCTCTGGAAAATGTTGACTTACTGTTCGACATGAAGCTAGAAGCTACCTTACAGTACACAGTTGATCCTGAGTCCTGTCAGTTAAAGTGTTTCATAGTTAGCTTAGCTAAGCATCAACCTAGCACTGAAATATATGGATGTTATGTGACAGTATTTCTGAGAAAAAGTCAGCTGAAATGGTGGCATAGTTGCCACTGCTTTACGTGTCGACAGCATGTTTAAACGTATTTGCAGCAGTAAATGTGGCTGTTTGGCCACTGACGTTGCCATAACAACACCTGAATGTAAATGTGCAACCTCTTTTTGTGACAGATTTTTGCATGAAATTATAATTCTTCTGAATGATATTCCTATTGACAGCTAGTTTTTATGTGAACATTATGAGTTGGACAGCCAGAGAGAATAAATGAAAAACAGTTATGAAATACTATATGACAGTATATCATATATAGTGATTTGTAAAATATCCATAAAGAAAAATCTGTTTACAGTTCTGTTTCATATGGGTGTTGAGAGATGTATCCATAGATCTCTTAATGTTGCTCTCAAAGTGCACCAGATTGATGCTTTCAACTTCAATATTTAAAAAAGAATCTTCCCTGGTTATGCTTATTTATACAATATGTGTGCTTATGCTAACATCATAAGACAAAAGTTGGTTCCGTGTTGTGTGAAGTGAGAACGCGCTAGAGTGAGGGGGGCCCCCAAGCCAAAGCTCGCTTAGGGCCCCCAAAAGTCTAGGGCCGGCCCTGGTTTGGATTCCTAAAGCTTTTAGTCTACCAATCATTCAAGGGTGGTTTTCACTATAAGTATTTTTTTTCTTTGGACGGACACTATCATTTACATTTTTTTACTATGTTCAATCTGAATTTACTTTAAAATAAAAAACATCTATATTGATTCTGACTTTTCTACATCCAACTCACAGGTTTATCATTGCTTTGAGAAAAAAGATTATTAATTTACCCCTTTTAGAAGTGAAGATATAGTCAATTGTTCTGGGCATGTCATTTTCGAGCCTGAGACCTGAAAAACAGGCTCGGGGCTCAACTGGTTAATGATAAACACACTGTGGTGGGATTTAAAGCTCCAGAAACGACCTCTTTGAATGTGTTGCGAAAATGCTCTCAGCACACAAAAAAAGAAATTTGAGCAAGACGGGTGGGTATACTCTATCTGCCGAGGAGGCTCCTGATGCAACTGAAAGCTCCAGGACAGCTACTATAGACCTCGCTAATCTTAACAAGTTGTTTTGTCAGGTTTGTGTTCTTGTTCTACGATAAACTTAAGGTCATATAACTGTAATATAACTTGTCAAAAAGACACAATGTTATTCACACTCAATTAAGTGTTAAATGTAAATAGCAGATTGAACAGCATACCTTTCTGGGACTGTGCTCGGCAGCTCACTGCAGCCCCTTCTTCCATCTTTTATTCTGTCAAATACACCACATTGCAGTCCTCAGTGTTCACCTGTGATTTAATGTTTGACTCGGCAAACATCCAAAGTCAAAGTCCAGCCAACCCTACCAGTCATATGACTCTGGAGAGATATCAGTATCCGATGTAATTATTACAAACCGTGAACACATTTCGAACAGTGTAATTACACTAAGTCGCCACTATATTTAATGCCAGTTTCTGAGTTAAGTGTGTCTTTACTGTTCCATTTAATGGCCCAGTTTTTGTATTTGTTTGAATCACTGAAGTCAGCTGGCCTTTGTTTGGGACAGGCCCTTTAATTATCTAAGCACAAAACTCTAGCTCGAAATAGGTGTGGACGTACTATAATTATTAAAAGACTTTAGTTTTTACCTGTGCCTCTCTCGCAGATCTTAGTTTTTCAGTCTATTCTGATTTAAGAATAAAGATAAGCAGCATTTTATACATTCAACTTTTAAGGAACAATAAAAACTTAGCTTTGGTCTGTGTCTAGTCATGAATACATAATGTTGTACAGGAAAAACAACTTACAACTAACTTCTCAGGGGGCTTTAATGAAAGCAAGTGAGGATATTTATGCAGCAAGTCGGCCTCAAGAGTAAAATAATCACACTTTCGAGGCTTCCTTAGAACACCTCTTTATTCAGATTCAGAGTTAATGCCACAGCTTCTGTGGTGTCAGTCAGTAAAAGAGTCCCTGAGTCAGAAGTAACTTGGTTCCGTGATAGTGCAATCGTGCACATCATGCAAAAATTAACTGACTACTGTAAGAAACCATAACTAATTACAAAGTTGTAAAAACGCTTCATAAGCATCATCTGTGACTCCAGCCTTCTGTCTGTAGCTTTAATTAGAAAGAGGCATTGCTGAAGGCTTTCACAGCTCCAAACCTGAAGGGTGAGCCAGTCTGGGCTCTAACATCTGCAGACCCCTTCCCAAACTGCAGGACCCCTTCCTAATCTGCAGGACCCCTTCCCAAACTGCACCCAGAGGCCAGCTGGCATTACATCTCCTCCTGCTGTAGCTTTTCCATCAGGGGTACATTTGGTCGTAGCCTGAATGCAAGGCCTTTAAAACAACTATTGCAAAAAAACTGTCACTGCAATTTCTAAAATCATACTCATAATTTACATTATGTACATACGTTTACAGTCGCTCAACATCCAGTCACATTTCCATACAGCACACCCAAAATGTCCTCAGGACGTTTTATGGACAACTTTTTAATGTTCCATTCAGAAAGTCTACTTTAAAGGAACAGCTCGTACATCTCTACAATTTCTAGAAGTGAGAGGGACATTCATCAATCACCTTGCGTACATATTTTCAGTTAACAGTATGTAGAGACTAAAACAGAAATCCTTTACCAGCCGTGGGACAAATAAAATATTTCATATTCAGTTGGTTCATTCTCTCACACTGTATCTTAATGGAAACGTGTGGCGGTGTCATGATGAATGAAGGAGGGTGGATGTGAACGTGTTGCCTTGATGGATGAGAGAAGATGGAGTGAGAAATATGAAGCAGGTTGTGTGGATTCAGCTCCAGACCCTTCCCCAGTCATGAAGCTATATTGTATCTGAACTGCATTGCAAACACAAAAACTCACACAAATCCAAATAAGTCAAGAGTAAAAGTTGTTTTGTGATTAAATCCTTTAATATTCTTAAGTGCTTTAATTGAAGAAAACATAAAAATAGCCTTAGAAAACAAAGAAAAGCTGACGCAAGAGGTGCCACTAACTCAATTATCTCCGACACCACTTAAAGACTTTTTAAATCTCAATTTGTAATGTTATTTAATTCCATCGGAGACCTCAGAAAAAAGAACAACAACCTCGTGTTAAACTTCTGAACTGAATAAAAAACCTTTTTCCAAATACTGATCAGGACTTCTCGGCATCTTTGAAATGAGACATTTTTACTGAATGACAGAATGAGTTGGAATTCTGATCAGATCTCTTGAGGAAAAATATAGCAGGCCGTGATACTAAAGCTTTTAACAAATATTTGAGGTAAAGCAACTCAAATATCTCCTTGTAAAAAATGTTGATTATGAACAGAGCTCTTTGTGCATAAGAGCAGACTTTATCCAGTTGTTAAATCTTGAATGTTAGATTGTAGAAGAAGCAGCTCGGCAACTAATCCCAGCAACCTGCTTGCTATACCGGAGGACTGTTTTTCTTCACTACCACAGGGGCTCATTTAGCTTCTACATTTCCACACAAAAATTAAGCAGCACTGTCTATTAAGGCTTGCATGAAATCTGTCTGGGTTGACATAACGCTACAGAGAGAGGACGTACACAAGGTATTGCTGCTGAGGAGTGACAAATTAAAACCAAAATAAATGATTAACACTACAGGTGGCACAGGAGGGGAGGGGTAAAAAAAAAAAAAAAAGAGAGAGAGAGAGAGAACACAAAATATCCCCTCCATGTCTTGCTGCCATTGTTTTGGGGAAGAAATCCACTAATTTTACTGCAGCAGCCGATGTTTAATTTGTTGCAGTTTAATACAACTGGGAGGACCGATTTGTAAATTGTGAAATATTTAGAGCTGTGCACCGACATTGGCTACGATGTTGGGAGTAAAACAGCTGCCTGCCCATGGAGTGTAAGCAAGCAGCTTTGTTTAACTGACAAACGATGTACAGGGGACGCCCTTTAACGGACCAACAGCTTTTCACTTGAAAGAACAACAAGGGTTTTATTTGCTCATTGGCTTTGGTAATCAAACCCAATGAATCCACACTGCTCCTCCATGCACTGTGATGGCAGGGAGAGGATGAATATTCAGCCAGAGCGCAGAGGTAAGAGGTGGGTGCTGTTTTAAAGGGGTGGCGAATAAGCAATCCCTCGCCTGAGCAAGCTTGATTTAAGGCAAAGGTTAAAACATCAGTACTGCGACACTACATGTAGACAGCTGATGACCTTTTCTGGATCGGGGATTGGTAGGTTGAACTGCTTCAGTGTTTCGACTGGGTTTGCTGGTTGATTCAACGTCACATTTAGGGGGTAAGAAATCGTCAAAATGATGAAAAACAACATACATGCGATTTCTTATTAAGCAAGTAAAATAGGAACAGAGATGGGAAAATTAATAATAATGTGTCGGGGTGACTCCGTGTGTGTGTGTGTGTGTGTGTGTGTGTTGTTGGTGAGGGCGACGCATGAGACCTGTAACAGATGGCAGGTGTCCTTGATGAGGACAGATTTCACATTGGGAGCCCTTGCTTGAGTTTTGCAGACACCAGCCTTTCCACGCAATCAAAATAAAGGATCAGTTCACCAACATCACAATTTGATGGAGAAAAAATAAGGTTTTCCCACCTAACGATTGCAGTATCTAGCCCTGGAGATGATGTTGGACAATACAGGTGAGGTGATGTTGTTGGTGGTGCTTAAACTAATTCAAAGTTGTTTTCTCCAAAAACAGAAATGTGCTTACTACTTGGATGATCCAATAATATGGTCAGTATTCACTACCAACATAGGTAATGATGAAAATATTCAGAAATGATCCAAAGTAATAGACTTATATTCTGAAAGACACATTGCTGTTGAAGTTTTTCAAATGTACTTTGCAATGATTTGAGCAAAATGTACCTCCCTACATTGTATTGGATTGGCCCATACAATGAAATCTATCTGCATGGCTTGATACCTGGAGGTTAACAGGTAGTCGTTCTGTGATTCGGGTCAAATGACTCTTTAAGATAAAGGAGAACAGGCTGGGCCTCAAGGCACCAGTTCTGATTACAAGTCCCACTGGGTGAGGAAAAGAGTGATGTACGCTGCTGCAGAAACACACTGCCCCTCGGTGGTTAAGATTAAAAAGATCAGATACAGATCGGCTTGTGGTCTTTGGGCAATAAGAATGAGCCCCTCCCTGATTGGCTGATGACTGACAGGAAGTAGAGAGCAGGAAATGTGACCTCACACAGGTTAGGAGCTTAACCCTGGGTGTTAGCGGGATCTTAAAGGACATGGATGAGGGATTAAGAAAGAAACAAGGGGAATATAGTGCTGCATCTCCCCCTCCTCATGTTCTGTACACCAGAGAGCGTGAAGCCCACACTGTCCACACTCTCCACGCTCTCTCTCACTAGTGCCATTAGTATTTCTATCTCTGGGCTCTATTATGTTTTCACAGCTGGGTCTCCTCCCTAGCCTGCCAACTGACTCAACAGAAGGAGGAGAATGGAGGCGGGCAGGGGTGAGACGCCGCAGGGTGACCGCACAGACGGCCGCACACGGAGGGGGGTGACACTTTAGTTTTCTTTCTTGGCCTCCGGGTTGCCGTAACTGGAGCCTGTTTTCTTCACCTCGGTGACCCCTATGAGGCGGCGGATAGCTATCGAGGCTGGGGAGAGAACAGAGGAGAAGAGAGTGAGGACTCAAGCGATTCAAAGATTAAACAACACAGTGCTTTTATTACTTCTCTTTCAGGTAAAGTCAGAGAGGCATTGCCTATTGCTCAGTCCACAAAAGGAAGCAGAGTTGCTTCTACAGGCCACTGATGCAGAGTTTGCCTACCTATGATGAGGAAGATGATGAAGCCAATGATGAGGAGCGGGGAGCCACTGACAGCCACTCCATAAGCAAAGTTGATGAGGGGCGAAAGCAGCACGGTGGCCCAGAACAGGAAGTTCAGCAGCGTCCATGGCCGGCGTTTAGGAATGATTGTGGGTCCGGGGAACTTGCCTTCCTTTTTATAGCTTTCCTGTAAGGCATCCTGAGCAGGAGAGGAAGAAGAATTGGTTTGCACTTTATCATTTAATCATGCATGTCGAGCATAGCTACCCACCTTATACATACATTAAACTCTATAGGCTGTAATAAATTATATGAATCAGAAAACAGCTTGTATTGTAACTACATATCTGAATGAAGCCGTGCATTATACATTTTGATTACTGAATCTGCCTTTAATGTCAGCTTTCTTCAGTTTACCTTCTCCTGGTAGAGCTTGTGCAGCCAGATGGCACACTCTTTCTCATCACTGGGTATGTCCTCCACCGGAAACCGCCTGGGTTGAAAAGAGAAAAACACAAGGCGTCTTAAACTGGGAACAGTTGTTAAGATTCTTTAAACTTAGGATAAGTATTTGAGTATATCCAATATTTATAGATTTGTTTTTTTCCCCTGACAGTCAGAAATTGGATTTGCACACCTCACAATTTTAACACGGTCTCTTTTTTTCTACCTTCATTCATAATTTCTCCTGTTCACACATATCCACATTATCAACACCAGCAATCTGAAACGCACCTAACTTGTGACGTCTAAATCATAACTGCAAATTGAACATCAAGTGTAATTTGTGTGCCCAGCAAAAGAAAAGAAAAAATAAATCATGAACTACCACCTTAATAGTACCATTTGTAAATTAAAGAATACTGACACTATCCATAGGCACTGCAACCTCAAACATACAATAATGTTAAACAATTTTAACCAGATGTAGTTATCAAATCATAATATAATGGACAATAAGATGTAATGAAACATTTCATGGTCAAAGATATTTCATGTTAATAAAACAAATGCCTGTTGTGGCCTGTTGTGGCCTGTTGTGGCAGTTTCTCCCCACCAGGTGGCTCCCTCACATTACACTTTCACTGCACCATAGATCACCTATTTTGGTGCTGGGGGATTTCTTTAAACACTTGTATGTTTAACTGACTCCGGTCTAGTCAACCATGTTAGTAAAAAGATATTTAAACGTTCCTTTATTTAATTGAGTTAAAGAAGAAACAGTTTGCTTTTTCATATTGTTTTGCAGTTCAGGCAAGGAGACAAAAGACCCTCTTTCCTCAGCCTTTTCAGCATGAGCTATCGGTCAGCTCTTCACTCAGTAGGATTCTCCTTCCAATTAGTTATTGTTCTGAAACCATAAACTTACTGGGAAACCAGCCAACATTTGTCAGGGCTCTCACTGTGTGTTTCATTGTTAGAGGACAAAAAGGCAGTCAGTAGGGGGCCCAAACGTTTGGAAAAGACTCATCATTTTCAGTTGAAAAATAAATGTAATAGATCATTATAATGATGAGTGATTATTAAAAATGGTACCTGTGACACTCACCTTACACTCAGGTCAGCTTTGTATTTCTTGCCGCTGACGATGCCCAGGAGAGTGGGGGTTTGGTTGTCTTTGAAGTTGAGAGTCACATCATACACAGCAGTTACTGTGAGAGAGGAGAACACAGATTTAGAATAAAAGTCTTGTGTGAATCCAGCATGACAAACTGTGTGTTATTGTTCACACTACCTGTGCCCTTAAGACACTGCAGGGTGGTGGTGAATCCTTTGGTTCGGGGCAGTAGGTGGTATTTGAGCTTGGGCAAGCCTTTGCTCTCTGCAACCTGCATACTGATTTGGTGCTTGGCCTCTGTGAAGCGGGTGCCCTCGCAATACAGCAGAAACTGTGGAGAGAAAAGAGCTGTGTTAACACATGCAGACACACAGACACCTATACAAACAAATGACCCACTGGAGGTGACCTATTTTTTCTTGACCCATTCTTGCATTTACTCTACAATATTTAATCTTACATTCTGTTCTTGTATATCTTATTCTATTTACATGTACATAGGATCCTGCATTTACTTGGTCACTTTCAACATTCTCTGCATCATTTAGCATGTATATAGTTAACTTCATCTACACTACTTGTCTTGCAACATAACCTGCACTATTTTATTCTAATCTATCCTACTCTGTTTCATTTTGCACTATTTTTAGTTCTATTTTTTTATTTTGTCTTATGTCCTATACATATTATGTTGCATTGTTGGAGGTGCTTGGGACTTAAGATTTTCATTGCCATAACTACACTGTGGCTACTGTGCACATGACGATAAAACCCTTGATTCTTTTACCTACTTCTGCTTGGTGGAATTACAGATCAAGTTCACCTCAGTGTAACAAAATGCTATCTCAATAGGCAGGTGGATGTTAACTCTACCTAAGGGTGTGTGATGGTTGCAAATAACATCACTGTTGTTATCGATTAATGTAGTCCAGTCTAGTGTCAAACAGAGAAAATGTCCTTCCCAGTCTGTTTTGACGTCAGTCCAAAACGCAAAGATATTGAATTGAATGTAAGATATTGAATTGAATGTAAGATATTGAATTGAATGTAAAATACAGATAATATTCATATTGGAGGCTCAAAAAGTTTCGCACTAAAAGAAAATATGATTAAACAATTATCGAAATAGTTGGCGATGATATCTCAATCTGACGCTTTATGGGTTTGCCGACTAATTGCTCTGGTGTTTACTTAATCTGGACACAAAAGCTGTCAGAAGTGGCCTAATGCCGGATTTGAGGGGTAATTAGATCAACAGCTGATCTGCCTAATCTCAGCAGGTGAACTGGTTGAGTCATGGTGAATATCTGTAACAAGGTGCTGAACTAGAGGCCATGAATGTAGGCCACTTGCACGTTCAAACGGTTCAAACGTTTTTTCCTCAGAAAGCAGAGTGAAAGCCTCCTCAGGCTGTTTGTGCACAGTGGAGAGCCCGGTTCAGGAAGTTTCACAGAGAAAAAAAACACACATCCAGCTGGCGCACTCAGAGAACTGAGTGGTAACCTCCTCTGATGTATCTTCCTACACTAAGAGAGACTGGGTCAAAGGGCAGCATCTAGATTTTGTATAGGCAGAGTATTTTCTTCCAATGAAAACTAAAGAATAGTTAAGACATTTATTTATGAAATTCCTGTTTATCACAATTTGGATCTTTTTTTCTTCATCAACAGAAAAAGTGAAGACTTATCTACAACAATGAGCCCCGAGGTGTAATAAAATGTAATGTTTCCTTTAGATAATTCAAACACTCTATCCTATATTTTACTGAGATGATTAACTCGAGTATCTACATGTCTTTTTCTAAGAGGAATGTTTTGAGACTGGGCTAGAGTTCACTGATTGCACAAGTATATGATGTGGTATTTGTGCAAATGGATGTGTTGTAACATGGAATGGATTCTAAGGCCACGTTTACACGGAGACGAAAACGAAAATGAACCTTATGCTGCGTTCACACCGGACGCGATGCGAATATTCGCTTCGCTCTAATCGCTCCTATCGCATCGCTCTAAACGCTCGAGTTTCACCGCAGCTGCCAGCTGTGTTTACTCGCATCATTCAAACAAGACGCGCTGGCTCGGGAGCTACAACTACAACAAAATGAACATATTTTACCGTGATTAAATTGTAATACACGTTTTCTAAATGATGCCGAAGTAACAACATACTGATACCGGTTAGTAAAAACCATGAATTAATGCTTTGACAAGTCTGCAGACAAGACGGCAGGCGAAAAATCTTTTAAAATGCTTGTTTTCTGAATGAAGATCGGGTCGACCAGGCTAAGCTAACGTTGTATATGCTCATTCCACACTCATAACAACGGCCTACAGACATTAATAAACCAGCGACTGTATTCGCCATGGCACAGACAGTCTGTGGTTTGTACTTGTTTAACTTTTGTCCAGTTTCTGAACAGATATGAGGAGCTGTGAGCTCTGTGTGCTAACTGCTAACAGCTAACGGCTGATGTTGTGTGGTTGAACGTCAGTGACGGCAGGCTGAGATCCTCACCGCTGATTGGCTTCCGCGAGAACGCGCCACGTGAATTTGACGCTTGAGTTGAACAAATTGAACTCTCGCGTCCACCGCTTCATGCTCGCCGTCGGAGCGAATTCGCGTCTGTCCGCGTCTCTGCATTGACTTTACATGTAATCGCGCCGCCCCCAAACATCGCATCGCGTCCGGTGTGAACGCAGCATTAGTCGATATCAAAAAAAGTCTTCCGTCCACACAGAATCGGCTCAAGATACGTGTCCGTCCACACGAGACCGCTCGACCCGCTGGAGACGCTGTAGTACATATGCCGGGCCTGTAAGTGGCGCTGTACTTCCGCCACAAAATACAACAAAAGCAGCGAAGAAGACCCCCCAAGCATGGTTGCCATGGTTGCCCTTCTGTTTATTCTCCGCGGTGGATTTAGCAACATGTAGTTCATGTAGTTCTCCATGTCCACTTGTTGCTGATGGTTGTGGTAGAGGAGCTGTAGATTTTGCACTAACATCTGTAGCATGGTCAGTAGCGTCTGGAGCACGAAAGCAACCCTGTGATCCGCCATTGTTGTTGTTGTTGTTGTTGTTGTTATTGTTGTTGAAACACGCGGGTGACGCGGGGGTAAGCAGCAGAGGTGGGGAGAGGCGGGGCTATGGCGTCATCGTTATCAGGAAATGATCGTATAGGACGTACACACGGAGCCGCTTGGCCCCCCAGAGCGGTTCGTCCGCAGATCTACCCACCTTGGGACCCGTTACCGTTTGAGGGCTCCGTTTCCGCGGTTCCGTTACGGCCTCGTGTGGAAGAACCGTCCATACGATAGAGAACTGTAGCGGATACAACCCGTTTCATCTCCGTGTAAACGTGGCCTAAGCAAACTGCTAAACCATCTTATTATTACACACAAACACACACGGGAAGTAAGACAGTGTGTCTGCTGTGTACTTACCCACATATATTCAGGATAGTCTTTGAGCCTATCCAGTGAACTGAAGACAGTCTTCCGGTCCTCTTCCCACTTTCTTTTGCAGAAGACTATTTCTAGGAAGTACCAGGTCCAGCCAATCAGAGGAACCTTCAGTAACTCGTGTTTGGCTAGCACTTTTGAACTCTAGAGAGGGGGGACAGGTAGACGTGTATAATGACAAAGGTTTGATTTCTCGCCATCAGGAGTAGAGATGGACTTCATCTTGAAGAGCATCATCTGAGATGACAAGTAACTAAATCAACAAAATATTCAGTTCCTTTTTGCGACAGTACTGACCCCTAGGATGCCATATCTTTCACACATAGTCCAGCCACACAGGAAGTCGATCTCATAGTTGTGGTTGAGGATGGTGATGACATGCTCTTTGCCAAACTTGTCCACCGTAGCTTGGTCGGTGTATAGTGTGCATTCTGTGCCCGACCACCACTCCAGCAGCATCACCAGCTCTGCACAGAAAACAACACATCATGCGGGGCACTGGGAATGTTCAAACAACACTTCATCATTTATAGGATTGACGATGAGAACTAAGTACAAGTTCAAAGCATTTTCCTCTTAATAAATGTCAGGGTTGCTCCTCAGTTTTGCTGATTAACACAACAGTGATCCATGCCACATATTATTTCCTCATCATGAGATATCAGAACACTTCAGCTGTATGGAGCTATTTTGGTAGATGTAATGTTTGAGCCTCAGCTGCTCCCATTAACCCGCATGAGCAGCCAACATGCCCCGCACCAGACAACAGCCAGCCATAGCTACTTACTATAGCAGCTAGTAGGGGTTGTACTGTAAATCATAAGTTTGAGCCTTTGCACAACAATACATTTTTCGCTGAAAACTAAATCTTCCATGATACACTTTGGATTGAACTTGAATCTCAGGCCTATCTCATACGCAACATGCTTATTTAACAAAATATCTCGCCTGTACACAACGCTAAGCCATTAGCACCAATTGCTAACAACGCCAGGACTGTTTTAATTTAAGAATGAGGTGCACTTGGACAGAAATGGTGAAACCGACGTGACAAGGTAAGGTCAAAATAAAGGCATATCTTGAAGAAGTTGACGTGTATCGATGTTTTCACTTTGCATTGATTTTCATTGATCTGGAGATTTATCTCAGAGCTAAAAGGAATAGAATTGTTGACATGAATTCAGCAGATTGCCAAGCCAAGTGTCACCCAAAGAACCTGGTGCCTTATCTTGTTTACACTATTTTCAAAGCACAACATAACTCTTAGCAACAGAAAAGGAGTATGATGTACTCACGACTCCAGAGGGAGTAGGCGAGCCGGCAGTTGATTATGCGATAGAGCCGCTTGTTGATGGGCCAGAGGATGCAGGTGCAGAGCTGAATGAAGTTTATGATGAGGCCGCTCACCACGAACACAAAGCCCATCAGCAGCTGCAGGATGAACAGGCTCTTCAGGTAGGCCAGCAGCGCCATGGCTGAGGAGCCTGGAGAGCTGAGTGGGCTCCTTTCTATACACAACGACCAACCTGAGAGAGGGCGGAAATAGAGGAGGGAAGGCAGAGCCAAAGCAATGAACCTTACTGACAGACAACGGTAAAAATAATGGGTCCTGGTTGACTCAATTTTTCTGCAGGCAATATTGCATTCAGTAATAAAAAAACTAACAGTCTTTCTTACCACGGTGGGATCCTTTTACAAGCCGCGTTTACACGGTCCGTCAGCCAATACTACAGACCTGATGGAGACAGAGAAAACAGAGGATGAGCATATAGTGAAGGAAGTCAAATGAAACACAACAGTACAGTGCCATTACAGTAGATTTTAATTAAGTGCACGTATCATCAAACAGGTGGTTCATACAGACAAGAGGACGCCAGAAACAGCTGATGTCGTTCTGAGTGTGGTCGGTGGTTAAAAAAAAGCAGAAGACAGATGCTGGGTTAAACTGTGGCACACGGCAGGTTGGGTAATGTGCTATTTCAACACACGCATTGCATGTTGGATTGTCAAAGAGCATTGTTACTCAATTTAGATTTCTTGTGACCGTACTCATTTTGACCTGAGCCTGACCTTTCACAAGGGCGAAGTGATAGAAATGACATTATATGCCACATTTTACACAGAACTACGCATTTCAATAAAAAGCAATACTTGAATACATCCATCATATTTCAATAGAGTATGGTGACCAAAAGTTGATCACATTTCAGCTTTAGGGTTTATATTTTATAGTTGTAAAAAATGAAGCAAAGATCTTAGAAACTAAATCTCAATTCCCTATGCTACACTGAGTTGGTATCAAGGCATTTCTTTTGACAAAGAATAGGTATGAGTTATATAAAGTCTCATCTATTCCGATGTGAGAACTTTCTGCTTTTCTCCGTTTATATTATTTTAAGTTGACTGTTGATCAGACAGAACAATAAAATAATTGTCGGGGCTTTTGAGAGTTTATTTCGGGTGATTCACTTTCCTCCAAAAGGTAAGTTAACACATTTATATGCCCCTAGGCATGTTTTTCCAACATACCAATGCAACACACATGAAATATTTCTATCATCTTTCTCTGCACAGCATGCTGGGAAAGGCTCCACTCCTCCATGACACAATAAGATTAAGCAGGTATGGAGATGAATGGACAGGAAAAGATGGATCTGTACCGCGCTGGCATCTGCTGCGTTTATACTTCTTGTATGCCGGTCGCCCGGCCTTAAATGGACTGTCCCCACATCTGCACCAAAGCCCATTACAGCGTGGGTCAAGCCAGTTTAAAGCTTTTCTAAGAAACTTTCTAATCTGAGTAGTGCTTTTGCAGCTCTGAGTAGCAATCTGTAGACACCCCAAATCCACTTTAGGACTGCCAACTGGGCAACTCCACCTGTTTTGTTTTACATTATAACCTTTTCACTTTTTAGTTGTTACGTATATGGCCATTCAAAAAATGCCTATTATGTAATTGTTTTAATAAAACATCAAAGTAAAGCAACAATACTGCAATTTATTATAGATCCATCTGCTTTTCTTTAAAAGAAAAAAGGGTGTCAGTTTAAAACTCAAAGATGTTTAATTTAATATGATATAAAAACAGAGAACTGTGGAAAATGCCTACATTTGAGTGGCTGAAATACAGCATTATCTGCCATTTTTGCATGAAAAACTATTTAAAGGATTAATTGGATAGATAAGTATTTTCTTTTTATGTTGATTAACTTATCAAATTCACAATTTTCTATATTTTTAACCAAAACAAAATGATTCCACTTTTTTTGTGATGTATTTTGTCTTTGCCCTTTTATTGTTTCAGTATCTAGATACTTTAGGAATTATTTATCGTAGTCATAGTTTTGGTGTTGTGACAACACTAAGCATTATCTGTGCAGTCCTAGTAGCAACATGTACAGTCCCCTGCATTCACTGATACAACTGTTTCAGCCATCTAGCCAAAACGAGGCCGTACGGCGCTGCTTTTAGAACAACAGACTGTATTCTAACCAACAAGGGAGAGATAGGAACATTTGCGTGTCAGTCTGCATGTCACAATGACATACAACTCTTCATCCACAGACAGGGTCTTGTTTACACAGCGTCTGTAATCACTACTGTCTTTGCTTTAATTGCTCGTGTAAAATTGTACACAATTGGAACTAGATAAAGCTCACAAAATGGATGACGGTGAGCAAATTGAAAAAAAAACGTTGGTAACGCAAGTTGATTTATTTACCTTGACAAAGCATTTAAAATATATTGGATCAGACACCCAAGACGTCTTCATTTTAAGCAAAATAACTGTTTACAACCATGTTTTATCTTGAGTTTGTATCATATTCTTTAAAGCGCCATCTCAGGAAAGAGCAAACCAAGCAATCTCAACCACAAACTTTACACAAGGTCAGTTGATTGCAGGCAATAATGAGGGCAACTAGTCTGATCCTTTGTAATAAATCCATTTAAAACACAACACCTGGGTGTAAGGGAAATTAAATCTTACGTGCACACTGCACATCCACAGAACTTCAGCTCAGTCTCTTGGGCAAACAGACGTTATAGTGCCTGTGGTTAGGAGGACATACTGACACTAAAGTGTTGAAATAATGTCACATGTGCCATCCATCGCCTGATGAATATTATTATCAGTCCAAAGATGTCTCTGCATTTTGTTACCGATATGGCCTTTGTGCCTACTTAAACTGGGAGAGAGTGAGTTGGAAGGGTCAAGTTACACTGTTGCATATTTCACTTCTGGCTCCAGTCAAATATTTTGGAAGGCTGGCTCCAACACTGAAGGATAAAGAGGACAGCGTGTAGATAATACTAACAACTGGTCACATTAGGGCTGCACGATATTGGAAAAAAACGGACATTGCGATTTTTCCCCCCCCCTGCGATATATATTGCGATATGAAAACATACAGGAATTGAAGAAAAGACAGTTTTTTTCCCGCAAACCATCCTTTCTTGAACTTTAATGCTATACAATTGGTATTTTTTTAACTAGATTTAACCGGATGAAGGATTTTAGTCACGGACGTCTGGATCTTAAGTTATCAGAGCAACAAGCTGAGCTAGCTCGGTTAGCAGCGCCGAACTGCCCTGGAGAAACACATGAAACTACTTTATTCAGTGTTTTTACCTTTAATCACCGGGTCCGTTTGCTTTGGAGATTTGATTGCGATTGGTGGTTTGCTGTGCATGCAGAGCCTACATGTCACTCACGTACCCCTGACATGAGAGCCGCGCAAGTTTTCCTTTTGTAGCAAGCAGCAAAATAATTGTAACATGACGTGTTTGAGTTAATTTGCCTACTTAATATAGCAAGTCCTTAAAAAAAATTAAAAATTAATCGCACGTCCACGCGATGTGAATATCGCGCATTCGCATATCGCGATTATCGTCACGACACGATACATCGTGCAGCCCTAGGTCACATGGTATTTTGTTTCAGTCGGTTTGGTGATGATGAACAGAAGTAGGTGAATGTGCTGTTGACAATACAAATGAAAGTGAAATGAGCTCCCAGTTTAAAATAAGACTCATCAATAAATGCACTGCAGTATAATCTACTGAATTGTCTTAATGTGAGATCCTTTAAAGGATCAGAGGGGGATCTTTAAAAATGCTCACATCTCCAATACAACTTCAAATTGTCTAATTTAATGTCTTCTGTCATTAAATGACATTGCTGCCCAAAAGTTTATATTCAACATGCATGCTTGAGGTAGGATTTTCCAGCAAAGCAGAAAAGATAAATACACTTGTTACATGGATGCCGAACTCTGTGTGAGCGCCAAACATCCCATGACCTTTGTTCTCATTTTATTCCACTCTTCTTTTTGCCACTGTACACGGGGTCATACAATTCAGAGCAACCAGGCATTTTCGCTCAAGTTAAAATGGAGGCCTTAATTCACAGTGCCTACAGCAAAAGTGCATCTTATCACTGACTTTGTGTGCACTCATTCTGTCTCCTAAAATAACCAGCAGCACTCAACATATTTGCTTTAAGAATTCAGCTTGAATGGCCAACCAAGGCCACAAGGGAATCTTAATCCAACCCATTGACTGTATAAAACATAGACATAGTCTTCATGCCGCCACCCATAGGTTGCTGAATAGCCGTTGTGAAACTCAAAAGTAGATTGCTTTATCTGTTGTCATCTTTATATGGCCATCTCTGCCTAACTCCCAGCTTAGGATGTCAATAAACTAGAAATCGAGTAGTCAACATGGTTGTTTGGAATGAAGTGGTGAGGCAGAGCTGGTGATCTGAAAGGTCATCAAATATTGCTATGTTTTAATGTGTGTATCATAACAACGGATTGTATATCTAGTGTTGGGAACCACATTTTGGTTCCAAATCCCAAATGCCAGGTACTGGGGAACCTAAAGAATAACATGGGGCTTTGCAAAGAGATACATTTTAGATCAAAAGAGTTGCCAGCACAGGAGGCCGTGCACCAACAGGTTTTCTTCTGTGCTTTTTGTTTGTGTTTTGAACAGTATGTTGTATATATCGATTGCCATTTCCTCTATTAAGTTAACAGGCTTTCTTGTGTTCTATCATCCACTAAATTACACATATTTTATGTTAAACATATAATTAGGATGCTTTAAATTTGGTAACCAATCAGTTGCAACCAAGATATGTAGCCTACTTCGTGGAACAGTTATGTACAATAGCCTTGTCATGCTAAAGCAACCAATCAGAATGTCTAATTTTTTTGCCTCACCTTGCCATTGGTCACTTGACGCTAGGCAGAAATGACAACCTCAAAGACAGTGTTAATAGTCTCCTCAAACAACTTTTACATACGTTTTCCTAAGCTGTGTGACTTTTTTAAAATCAGCCATTATCAAATAATTGACATGTCTTTACACCAATGTATTTTTTGTTTTAGGCATATACAGCAATACTGACTGTATTTTCTTGATGTATTCCCACAATAAATAATGAGTACTATGTATTTATAATTATTAAGCCAAAAGAAAAAACATACCATTGTACTATATATATATATCTATATCTGCCTAATAGGTAAACCATAATGTGTTTTGCAGAGCTCAAGTGTAATTGATTGGATCAGAGCTACGGTTCAGCTTTTGAGGTTAGTAGTTCAATATTAAGAGAAGAAAGTAAAACCAGGTTCACACACATCTCTGCCCAGTAACATTATCCCCAGTTAAAACAATGCAATGACTTACACATTATAGTGTAAATCAAACCAATGTAATTTTTCC